GCTGGTGGCTCCTCACAGCTGGCTCTCACTCAGTTAGTCGCACAGCTGCCAAGTTTTGCTATGCACTGTGAAGTAAGGAGCAAGTTTTCCTATGTAACCGGAGAATTATGTGCTGGAATTGATGTAGTCTGAGATAGTGCCTCATGGCTAGCCCTAAACTGGAACCATGTAGGTTATGGCAAGAGTAAGAATTCCTCTGTGCAGCTGGAGTGCAGGCTCCAAGGTGCTTTCTGAGCAGACTCAATGTCTCACCTGTCTGTCACAGCTGATGTCTCTTAGTTCGCCTGCCCTTTTCAAGCTTAAACCAGTTGTTACTTATAAAGGTGTAAAATATAACACTTTTCTCATTATTCATGCACTGTAAATGAAAACAGGGTGGAGTGGGGCATTATGAGGCTGGGGGGGAGGGCTCCTGAGCAGAGGAAACCTGGGGTAGCATGCACAGTTTCTGTTGGTTTTGTTGTAGGAGTTGCTCTTAATATTTTTTTTTTTTCCCCCCCTTTCAGTCATTCACCATCAGGAAGCCCTTGAGGGAGTGCAAGTCCTGAAAGAATGGATTCAAATTCAAAAAGTTTAAGAAGAAAATTTATTTTGTTTACATTATTATAAGGGATTTTGTGGTGTCTTTATAAATGTAAGGGCTTAGTCCTAGAAGGCTGTTTCTATTGACTAACAATTGGCATGAATCTGGATCTTTTAAAAGTCTTACTAGTAGACAAATGCGAAACTCTTTTGTTGTGTTAACGTTCTGTGATCTGGAAATGTTGGGCTTTTTTTATTGGCGCGTTGAAATAAACTGTGCATTTCTAACTAAGAAATATTTTGATAACCCTGTTAATATTTGGGTAGCTGAAGCAGGTCATGTGCCACTATGGTGAAAAGCAGGAGGCAGGCTGTTACAGGCACTTGTGAACCGAGTGTAGTGCAGCAGCCAGTCCGAGGCTGTCCTGCAGGTGTGTGCCTGTTGTAGGACTTCATTCCTACAGAGCACCGATTGAAGTGAAGAGTTACCAGTACCAGCTGTCATTCTTACTGTTCGGTCTTGAATGTTACGGTGATCTGTTCCCTGTGTTTTTATTTGTACCTCTTCAAAGCTCAGTGAGGTAGAAAACCTGTCTGGAAGTGCTTGTATGCTTGATGATTTGACTTACAAAAATGTCTACAAAGGGCATTAACAGATGGAAAAAACAAGGAATGTGTGAATGCTGGTCTGTCTGTCCTGTTGATTAAAGGACCAGTGAACTTCTCACCTGAAGGTATTTTGAATACTTCTGGAATGTAAACTATTGAAGTAAATATTTTTAGAAATCTTGTTTTACATCCTGGTTGTCCAAATAGTACTACTTCTTTGTGATACTTAGATAAATTGGCAGTTCTGGTGCAGAAGATAAATATATTTAGATATAGGAAGTTAAGGCTTTTCTTACAGATTGAAGGTCACAAGCAGAACCTGCAGGTCATGTTTAAGTAGCAGTACGTTGGGGAATCAAGAGCTCATGTTACACCTATCTGACCTGATCTGCCTGGTCACATCTTCTCTGGCGGTAAAGTAACCGAGGGACTCGCTGCTGTCCTGATCAGTTGTTGCTTTGGGAAACTGGACTGTAGCTGCCTGTATGCAGACGGTCCCCATCTCACCACAGATAGGTTACTGAAGGATTTAATATAAGTGCGATAAACTAGTGCAAGGTATTTGCCAGTCTGATTTGTCTCTGCAGCTGATAATGGCTATTATCGGACTAGTAAGGAAATCGGAGTGTCGGATGATTTTGACTTGAAGTCTTCCTTATAGTATGTTCTGGCCTGTATTGCTGTGTCTTACAGGCCAGCGAGGAACAATCATTTTCTTGGAGCTTCTAATTTGTCAGCAGTGGGTTGATGATACTCTACTGTTAGAGTAGAGCACTGCAGCTGTGCGTGCAGTTTGTGCATGCAAAACCCCAGGTTTTTGGATGAACTTTGGTCATTGTTGCTTTACAAGATGTCCAGGTATTAAAAGAATAATGAGCCCCTATACATGACTTCACAAAGACTCTTCCTGTGTATTGCAGAATGTGTTTGTCCTGTCCCTCCTCTTCTCTTCCCGATGTTTGTACATTTTAGTGCATTAGTGCTTTGAGGATAAGTGACCTTCCTTGCTGATGATGCTGCAATTAATATTTTGTTACAACCATAGTCCATTATAAGCTGCAGAAGAGGGAGCTGGAAGCAACAGCATTAAACTAAGGTGACCCAAAAGCTATTGCTAAACACTGCTGGGGGGAATATTTATTGGGTTCCCTTCTTCCTTCCCCATTGCAGTTTAAAGCATCAGTGGTAAAATTTACCCCGTGCAACGGTGTCTAGCAATCTGACTTCACAATAAACCTGTAGACTAAAACTCTTCTAGTGATACCTTTCTATTTCAGTCTTTCCACTCATTAGAGCTTTACAAGAAAGGGGATAGGTTGGGACTGCATCCATGTGCTCAGGGGTAAAGGAGGAGGGCTGGAAGCAGGGTTACTAGGGGTAGGAAGGAGGCAGCGCCCGTAGTCAGAGAAGGAACCACTCTTCAGCTGCTGGTGGGGGTGGCTCTTATACCTCACAGGGAGACCGATGGTCATTAATAGCAGCACTGCCACTGCATTTGGTGCTTGTCATCTGTATTTGATGTGGGTCTCGTCCTCTTGTTGGAGACTGCTGTCTCAAAGGCAGTTCCAGCTGTACTGGGGAGCACAGCAGCTAGGCTCCAGCTCTGCCTCTGCTCTTCACCTGGGGGTTTGGACTGGCTTATCCTGTCTCAGTCAGTCATTTTGTAGGACGTTATGCCTTTACTCTTAAGGGGACATGGAGCTGTTGCACCCTGGTGCTGGTTTCAGGGGCTGAACATACCTGCTGAAGGAAGCAAGTAATAAAACCACTGTGCCCAGGCCACGAAGCCAGGTCAGTGCATATGCAATTCCTGGCAAGTCAGCCTGTTTCAGCAGTGGATGAGGCGCTATTATGTAGAAACCCTCCTAAAGTAGCAACTGGCACTGCAGCCCAGGTGGCAAGACATGAGGGGTGTGCTCACAGTTCAGTATCCGCTGTCATCTTTTGATTGTACGTATTGATTTGTGGTTTGTTCCCAGATTTTTCTCTTCCCAGATTTGCCCGTTCTGTCACCAAGGCAAGGCACTAGGATGTTTCACAGGTCTTCCCTCCAGCAGGGTGGATGCTGCTATCACCCGCTACATCACCAGCTGTCCTTGCCCTCACCTTCACTTCGTGATGGCTCAGGTGGAGTTTAGCATGTACCTGGGGGAAGAGTCATACAGACCCTGCTTGAGCACTAGTTTCCATCCAAAACACGGTACTCCCTGATGGTTGAGAAGTCATTTATTCAAGAGGATAGCACTTTGAAAGGGTACGGAAGTCCGAGGTGAAAAATGGAATCTGTTCCTATTTCACTCCACAGCCAACCTGAACAGAAACACTATTTGCTTACCCTTATTGGCATGGCTGCCAGGCACACACAGAAGCAACGCCATACCTCACAGTCCCGCTTCACACAGAGCTAACGGCTGACAACGCGCTCTGTATACTTCTGCAGTGCTTTAATGCCCCGCCCCAGGCCTTAACAGCTCTTCACTAAACCTCAGGAGAAAAAAATCCCAAGCACGTAGGTGCACAGTTAGAGGGGTAGGGTGCCACTATTGACCAAGATTAAGCTATGGGAACAGTTCAGCCTTCTGCAGCTCAACATACCTGCAGACCATTCTACTGCACTGGTATGTTGGTCTTGGTACTCCTGTCGTCTTCCTCGTGCAAGGGTGTGTTGCTGTGAAACTGCTTCTACAAACATTCAAGTGTGGTTTTTCTGACAAATTGAACTAGTCCCCAAACGATGTGCCTCCATCTGCTCATCGTTCCTCAGCCTGGAGGCTATTTCTAGGCAGGGCTGGCACGGAGACAGTGTTTACTCTGGTTTTACTACTACGGATGACAGCAAAGTTTTTTATTTAAGGCACTTGCTATTATTTGCAATTGCTAGTGCATCAAGCAGCTCAGCTGTAGCAACGCTCAGCACTGCAATTAAGCCATGTCAAAGGGAAGAAGTAATAATAGTTCATTATTACTGCGGCATTTCACCACACTCTTCTGTAGCAGTCCACTCCCCAGAGCAGGAGTTTGGCTAAAAGTTCCCAAAAGTGGGACTTTCTTCAGCTGTTCAGGGTGGCAGGAGGACCACCACCTACCAGAGGAGGTTAACAGCGAGCAATACCATCCACCCAAGGATCCATTTTTAATGCACTACAGCAGTCCGTCTCATCTGTTTTACTTTTTCATAGCATAGGGGGGGGCTGGAAAAGCCTGGCTTTCAGGGGGAACATCCACACTCTCCTGCAGTTTTACGCTGTAACCAGAAGAGCCTGCACTGATCCAACACGTTACTCCAACTGATCTGGTACAGTCTCCTCGCCAGAGGATGCTCCCTAAATCCATTTCAGAACCCCTTGACGTGAATCAAAAGGTGCTCACCTTTTTAAGGGCGTTGCGTTGAACCGTAAGCAAATTGATCCCTGGTCAGCCAAGACCGACTACCTCAGTAAAGTCTTGGCCAAAATGTAGAAATGAGTTTAAACCAATTTCGGAGCAGCCTATGATGTCACATGCTGCCTCCAGACATTACTATTACAAGCAGCAGCTAGGTAGCAGGCATTTTTGTGACCAGAAAACACTATTGCCAGTGTATAGCCTCATGAAAAAAGCACTTTCTTAGATGGAGGTTTCTATTCTTCTGGGAGATTTGCCATTTTCCAGAGTGTACGGTAAGCCACCTTATTTTCAACAAGCGAGCTCTCTGTAAACAAAGGGGGGGGAAAAAAAACCCACCCAACCCCAAAACCCCCCAAAACCTGTCAATAGTACAGTTGCCAACTTGGTCTTCCAGAGATCAGTGCCATGTTTTGGGACAACAAGTACATAGAGAGACTGATGTTACTTGGTCTGTTCTCAGGCAGTAGCAAACAGTGAGTCTGTACAGAAAGACGTTCTCACGTTACTGCGTGGTCACAAGCTTTACAATCATACTGATGATCCGAGATCCACGGGGGCACATGCATAAATCCATGCTGGGATTCTTGATTTTATCCTGCAGCATCTGGTCTAGTTCACAGCGCAGCTCTTTCACCAGCTCAGCCACCTAACACACGTGGTAAAACACAGAGGCGAGTGTAAGGCTCATGAAATGCATCATCATCTCCTGCGTTCTAAACACAAGCACAGCTCTGCAGCACTCCCAGGGTTATCCCTCCTTTTCCTTACCTGGTGAGAGGCAGCCACAAACCGTATCCAGCCATCATCAAGAGAAATGACAAACTCTCCCTTCTGCAGCTGCATGTGAACCTGCCCGCCTCCAAGCAGGACCAGCGGGTACACTGACACCATACTGCAGTCTCGAATGAACACGCGGCTGGTCTTGATTTTCTCATGATATACCAGGTAGGGGCTCTCAAAGTTCCTAGTCTGGAACACGTACACAACATCCTCGTTAAAGCGCCACATCTCTTCCTACCTGCTCAGGCAAATACGGGCCTGCCTCCCTCTTCGCACAGGCCGCCCCTGCCTCTTCTACGGCTGCAAAGAACAGCAAACGTGCCTAAAATGCACCCGCACGACTAACAGACTCTCTCTGACCCGTAAGAGCTGCCACTAACTTTGCCACTTATCCCTTGCTCCTTCCCACTTTGCAGCGAGCATGGGAGAGATCAGCTAATTCATTAATGTTGCCTCAAGGCCCCAAGTGCTCCATTTCATGCTAAGGACATTTTCATGTGTGCATTTGTTATGCTCTTTCAAAGCAAGAGTGATGAACAGTTCAAAGCCTTTACAACTCAAATACATGGTTCATGATTAAAAAACCACTTTTTTAAAGCAAGTAACTTATATCCTGGAAAAGCAATGAATCATCAAATATGGAGAGAGACTTCATGAGACAAATATTACCATACATCATGGCAGAGAGAGAAGAGCTCTTATTTAAGTATTAGCTATTAAGCTGGAAGGGAAGTTAACTTCAGAGTTTGAGGACCCACAAAGAAACAAGCCAGAGTATGTCTCTGAACCAATAAATAATATTTCAGCTGAAGAGACAAAGCCTGGGGAGGGGCGGTGGGGAAAAGTCATCGACATGTATGAAGGTGCTACACATGCGCATGCAATCTCAGTCAATGCTGAGGAGAAGCCAGGGGAGCATCGCAACTGCAACATTTTTGCGTGCAGCTTTGCAGACACATCTTCAGAAAACATGAACTGAGGGGTTACCGCATCTGCTAATTCCACTCCAGAGGATGGAGTTTAACTGTGTGCCCAAGAGGACACTCTTAACTCAGGAACGCATCATTATTTACGATTCTAACAGGGGACAGTTCAATCACGATTTTTTTTTTAAAACATCAATAGGGATCCTCACTGTAATCTCAACTGCTCAAGCAAAGGTGATTTCTTTTATAAAAAAGAGCATGCTTTGCAGAAGAAAAGAATCCTGACCTGATAATTCACAGATGAAGGGTGAATGTGAACATAACCATCATTTTTGGTAACAAACTTCAGCTCTTCTGCTTTTGGTTGCATTTTGACTACTCCTGTACTGGTCTTCTGGTATTTGCCCTCTGGCTTTTTCACCTGTATGGTAAGAGAAAAAGTTATAAAAATCTGCTGTACCAGAAAACCTTTTTCACTTATGTTTTAATTTTATCAAAAACAGAAATTCTCAAGTAGTAACTAGAGACAGATAATTACACTCCGGATGCTGTCTAACCCTGACTTCTTAGTTGTAACCTCAACCTAACTTCTTATTTGTAACCTCAACCTTCTAAAAAGCTGTAATTTAAAGTAGCTTCTTAAGAACATTTGCTGCTGGCTTGTGTGTGACACTAAAACCAGCCTGTAGAAACAGCAGTGCTCTCAAGCAATACAAACTGGAGCTCAGCTGCCTGGCTCTAACACTGTAAGCAGCAAGCTTTGGCAACCTAAGCCAGGCTCAAGGCTGCCACAATCAGCCCAGACTGAAAGCAGGCCGTGTGGATACGCTAGACAGGAGAAGAGGAAATGAAAAAGCGTTCTTTTACCTGGACAACATTGGGATACAGTGCAGCACACAACATAGCTGAGATCAGCTTGATGTTCTCTGCATTCGAATTCGCCTGTGAAATTAATGCATGCATTAGGTATTCTACAGGTAAGTCTATAAAGGTAAAGCCCTGCTTCTGGAATGATTGAATTCCTGAAACTGGCTTACTTTTATAGCTGCACTGCTGTGCTTTATAGGGGAGGACCAGTTACTGCTCCTAAGGTCTCAGGGTAGACCTGGGCTGTGTTCCCCCCACTATCAATGGAGCAAACTGGCCACCAACTATCCTGACGCAGTTAGTGCCGAACCTAATTATTCCCTAACAATTGTCTGGCTACAAAGCGTCTTGCCCCCGAGAGAAAGCAAGCACAAGCTGTCCCAATGCACAGTGGGACTCTGCAACTACCAAACCCTTATCGCCTCATGATGTAGCCCTAGAAGATCTCTGGCTCTGGAGGTACTGCTTTCTGAAGATTGTCCAAAATGCTGAAATATTTCACTGCCTGCTTTGTAATGTAATTCTGTTCCCAAAATAAGGTTGGCACTAATCCCAACGTTCAGGCCAGGTCATGAGTCAGGCCCGTGCCTTTCCACCACTTGCTGACTTCTAACGTGTCCAGTCAGCAGTGTTTCACTGTCTCAAAGGAGCAGGTTTCAGCTCATTTCCACATCTGGGCCTGTTCCTCCTGGGCAATCGAGGCTAGTACCAGCACATACGATGTACAGGGAGGAAGAACAGAGCAGGTAGGAGGCGACTGTTGCCGGTGTGAGATTACAAAGCGAGGCTGTGGCAAGAAGCCCACCAGTCTAGAGCCCACCTGGCACCCAGGTCAAATGAAAAACTGCAGCATCGTTTTGGAGCACTGAAATGCTGTGAATTACCTCTTCTCCTGTGGCATCCAATACGCCATCACCTCCTTGGGACCACTTCTTCTCAATGTCCCTGGCTCTTAATCCCTCCTTCACAAACCCGATGTCAGAAAGCAGTTCTGTGAATTGCCGTTTCAGACTGGCAATTTCCTACAAACAGACAAAGGGCTGGGATGGGTGCCACACAGAGTGAGGAGAGTCTTCACCAATTGCTTATTTTCGTCACTAGGACTTTGCCAGTGTCTCAACCAGTCCCTGTGCAAGGCCACAAAAACTGACTTACCTGAAGAACTCTTCCTGACAGAAAGTTCTCCCTGCAGTAGTTGTAGCTTGCCTGAGAGCCCTCTTTAATACTCAAACGCCATCCCTAATTGAGAGGACGGGAGGAAACCTTTAATAAAATACTTCAGCTTGAATTTCAAGCACATCACAAACCTCTGAGAGAGGCTACTGATTTTTAGCTCACCTTATAGGCCTGGAGAAGAGCCAGGTAGTCGCTGTTCCCTACTGCAAACTCCAACTTCTTTTTGTTTGCTTCTTCCCTTTTATCCCATGGTGACACCTAGACAGGCAGTAACAGATTAAGCGTGTTCTTTCCCTCACAACTTAGACAAGCCATTGCGAGAGCTGCATGGCACATAGTCTTTGGTATTTTCACAGCAGCTCACAGGTCAGAATGCAAATTTTCTCCACAGATAACAGAAAATACGAGGCATTCAAAAATGCCTAGTCAATAGCAGAGCACCTAAGCCCACTGTCCTACCTAACCACAAGAAATCCAAAAGTAAATTTGTGATTGACCAGCTCACAGAAAAGACTTCATTTTGGGCA